CAGTGGCTTGTCTCTTCATGGGCTCAGCCCGTGGTATCCATGGGCTGTTCCTCACCCTCCCTTTCCTCAGGTACATGGTGGATGCCGCCGACCAGGACAAGATTGAGGCCTCCAAGAACGAGCTGCATAACCTACTTGACAAGCCTCAGCTGCAGGGCATCCCGGTCAGCCTGGGAGGGGAGCGTTAGGGGAAGTCACTGGGCAGGGGAAGCTCATATCATAGGGTGGAGAGAGGCCTTCGTGGTCTGTGTGTGCACGCATTCCTGACCCCCAGCCCTCATTCTCCCCTGTCTGCAGGTCTTAGTCCTGGGTAACAAGCGAGACCTCCCCGGAGCTCTGGATGAGAAGGAGCTGATTGAGAAAATGTGAGTTTAGACGTTAACTTTCAGCTTTCCACGTTCCCCAGCCACCAGCCTTGGAGTTGGGCTTGTTATTGTTCCTAGCATCCACCACGAGGTGGCAGCAGAACACCTTTCCAGGCACCTCTTCCTCCTTATAATCCTTTGAGCAAGGGAAAAAAAACCTTGCCGTCCCCTGGCCCCAGGCTCCTTGGGCAGTTCCTGCCGGGTAAACGCTTATCTGGTCTCCCCTAGGAATCTGTCTGCCATCCAGGACCGAGAGATCTGCTGCTACTCCATCTCCTGCAAAGAAAAGGACAACATTGGTGCGTGAGTCTGGGGGGTTGGTGGCCGTGCAGGAGTGGCAGTGGGGAAAGGAGAGGACAGAGAATTCTGGGTGCCATAGCATAAGGTTCTCGAGGGTTCTGCCTCCAGAGCTTGCTTTTAGCTCAAAACTGTGGCCCTTGGTGCAGCCAGGCCTGCGTCGTAAGTGTCACCCAGCCCTACCTCATTGGACCTGACGGCTCTTAGCCTCGGAGTTCCCATAGTACCTGCAGTTTGGTGACCCTGGGCTGACTGCCAGTCCCTCAACTGTCTTCCCTGTGCTCAGCCAGCATAACAAAGCTTCATACGCCTTTTCTCTTGTCCTGGGCCCAGACATCACCCTACAGTGGCTTATTCAGCACTCAAAGTCGCGGAGAAGCTGAGACGCCGGCCCCCTGCCTCACACCAGGGACCGTGGTCATCGAACCTGAAGCCGAGCTCCCGCCCGTCCCTTCTTCCCTAAGCGCACCCCTCCTCACTCACTGAGAGGAGGGCCCTCTGGGGCTCCCAGAGCCCCGTTCTGCTGAGGTTTGAACTCCTGTTTTTATTGTATAATAATAAATCGCCCCCAATCTGGGCCTTCAGCCTCTCCCTTGCCCCTCTCCTAGGGTCCCCTCACCCAGCCCACTTCCTTCCCCTCTCGACAGCCCAGCCCCTTCACTCCCCCTTCTTCCCTTTTCAACTCTCTGTTATTGTCCTGTGTGTACAGTATATATATGTATATATATTTTAATTTTTTAATTTAAGCAAAGACTAAAATCAACCATTTGATGCTGCAGGGGCCATTCAGAATCTGGGAGGGGGCAGTCTGGAGAAAAGGAAAGAGATGCAGGGTCGGCTTGGGTTTACACCCAGGGAGGTGGAGGCTGGTGCCTGGGGCAGGTACTTGCCTGGACATTGGTGGCTGCGCCCCTGTCCTGTGTGTTTCTGCCTCTCGCTCTGGCTTGTCTCTGCACTCCACAGGCTGGTGAGAGCCTAGATAGGCGCCTCCTCTCTGTCCCCAGCCTTGGTAGGGCACCAGGCACAACCAGGTCAGAGACCACCAGACCCAGGAGCCGGAAGCTGGTGTCCATGCTACCCCAGAGCCCGGACACCTGCTTCTAGCCCCAGCTCCTGCCCCGACCCAGGGCCCCCACCCCCACGGCCCACCTCATTTTCTGTTCTCATTTTGCAGAGTTGCACAAGGAGAGAACTCAGCATGGGGGTTGGTTCTTATTTTGTTTTTTTGTTGTTTTATTGGTTTAATTTAATGATTTGTAAAGTGATGTTCCTCTTCCTTTTCTACACTTTTCAGCTCATATTTAACCTCTGTTTGGAAAATGATTCTTGTAACTGTACATTTTTTTGCCTCCTAATAACAACAATAAATACCAATTTTGTGTTGAGGGGGTACACAGTGCCCATTATTTTTCTGCAGATGGTGCAGACAGGCAAGGGGGACTCCAGCACACCCGCCCCTAGGCACAAACAGCCCAGGAGCCATGCCCACAGCCAGCAGCCTCGTGCCTCGCTGCGCACAAAGGCCCCTCACAAATCTCCCACACGTGCCTCAGCTCCACCCGGCCTCCTCATTCCTCTCTCAGACTTGCGTCGTCCCAGCCTTGAGAGGCAGCTGCCTAGCAGTGCGAAGGAGGAGTCCCCAGCGCCCAGAGCGTGGAGGAGGGAGTGATCGGCCACTTCTGCCCCCCCAATTGGCCTTGGTGCCCCGGTTTCCCACTCCTACTGCTCCATTGCCTGAGTCTTCCTTGCACCCACCTGTGAAGCAGGATCCCCTACCCCCACAGCTGCTGCTCCAAGCCTCATGGGTCCCCCTTGCTCAAATCTGGGGCCATCTTGACCCAGATTTACAGGAAGCCCCGCTTCCCCCGTCCCTGCCTTTAGCCTCCCCTGGGCTCTGGAAAATGGAGCAAGCCCTGCAGAGCACCCACTGTGTCCTTGCCTCTTCTCCTGTCATGAAGGGCCCCGTTTGCCCTTAATGCACCCAAGTCCTAAGCCCTCCCAGCTCCCTGCCCTTCATCAGTGCCCAGGACTGCTTCTCCGAGGCACTGTCCAGCCTTGAGGGCCATTAGAGAAACACCCGCCAGAAGGGCCTGAGGAGGGACTGGAGCCCTGATGAACCTTTAGAGCTTCCAGTGATGCCAACGTTGCGCTGCAGCACGCAGCCGCAGGTTCTCCACCGCTGGACTACATGGAACCTGGCAGCTGGAACCGAAGGTTCTCTGACAACTTCTGTCCCCAAGAGGTGTGAGATGTGTCCGACCAGTTAGGGTTGAAGGTGGGCCCAGGCTCTGTCTCCTTCCTCCCACACTGCAAAGGTGGCTGGGGTCCCCTGGCTGGGAGCTGGAAGAAGGCCACCACCTTCTTTCATTTGGAGCACTTTGGGGCTGAGCTCTTCTTGTGTCCTGCTGTCCTGAACCCCGGACGAGGTGTGAGTCTGTGACCCTGGAGCAAGCCGTGGTCCCACACTCCTGGCTCCCTGAGGCAGGATCTGCAGAACCTGCTCAGGTGGAACAGACCAGGAGCGTGACAGATACAGATTGTCGTGTTTGCGTTCTGATGTCAAAACTGGATGAGTCTTAGGAATACCCTGGCCAGGCTTGCCATGTAGTACTAGAGATTGCAGTTCCCAAAAGCTCCTGGGAATGGAGAGAAGATGCCAGGCACCGGGCAGATGCTGACCGCAATGCTGGGAAGCAGAGACCATTTCTGCTTCACAGATAAGGAACTTGCACAGGCCATGCAGGTGCAGTCAAGTCCCAGGATAAATGGATGATGACACTGAGACGGAAGGAGGTGATCTTCCCCATCCCCACACCACTGGCAGAGTAGGGAGGCCTAGAAGGTCGCCCTCACTCGCTCTCAGGCATCAGGGTCTCGGGGCTAACCTGCTGCTGCTTGCTTTCAAGGGGTGATTGTCAGCACCCCCTCCACCCCAGCTCAAGTCCACACCCACCCCTATGCCAACCTCCCTCCCAACCCCCCAGCCTAGGACCCCTAAGCAACAAACCCCACATTGTTCCCCAGCTGGCCCAGGCTGGAGGGACTGTGGCTCTTTCCCAAGGCTGGCTGGCCCGCTGACTTGATTCTGCAGGCCATTCACGCTGGCAGGCCTGGGAGGAGGTGGTGGCAGCAGGACCTTGGAGCTACCATCTCTCTCCCTTCCGTCCGAGCCAGCAGGAGGGAAGGACCAAGGGTGGCCTTTGTGGAACAGACCCCCTAAACAGGATGCTGCCGTGCCCCCCACCAAGCCTTCTGTCCTCAGCCCTGCCCCATCTCTGGCTTCACCTCGCTTCACCCGGCCCCCTCCTGCCTCCCTTAGGAAGCTATTGGTGCATATAGGATGCGAGAGGCTTGCAGCACAGGAAGGGTTGGGGGAGCCAGCCTTTGGCCCTGTCTCCAGCCCATGCCCCCTCCCATCCAAAGTTTCTACAGACAAAGCTGGAGGCTTTGGTCACTGTGGCAACAGGGCTGCGGAGAAATGGGTTGGTGTCATTCCTCAGTACATGGCAGGGCCATCACCTAGCAACGGCCTCTCTAGCAACGGTGTCACTGGCCCTGGGGGTGGGTGCCAAGGAGAGAAAACAAGGCTGTTAAGATCCCGGGGCACTGAGGCACTGGGCAGGCAGAGGCAAGGCATGTGGGTGGCTAGACAGGGAGAACAAGGCCCAAGCTACTCAGCATCTGCTGCCACTCGCCATCCTTGGGCCCCAAGGGACACTTCCTGAGGCCCTGTGCCAGTGGACATCCTAGGTAGATGTGGTGGCCATGCGTAGTGCTCTGGGGAACTCCAGAGGTACAGCTAGAGCAGGGCAGGCTTCAAGGGCAGGATCAGTGGGAGGAGGCACAGGGTCTGCTGGGGACATGGGACAGAGCCCTGCCCTGCCAGGAAGGGGAGTGTGGTGGGGGCGGTGTGGGGGCAGCCAGGGGCCAAGCAGCTGGACCATCTACTGGCAAAACAGTCCATTCTAAGAACCAAACAAGAGCTGCTCTCAGAGTGCCAGGCTGGGAAGCCCCGTGGCTCACAGAGGGAAGACCACTGGCTTCCCTTAAATGGGGGCTTTGTTGAAAGTGACTCAAAACTGGGGGCTCAGAGAGGACAAGTTGGCAGCCTTTGACTTGCTAGAGGATGCTGGTTTTAGATCAGGATGAAGATGTAGTCATTTAGCTCCCCAAGCCCCTCATCCGTTGTCCCTCAAGAGACCCCAGGGCAAGACAGCAGCCACAGCCAGCCAAAGGTGGTCAGGAGGACTGCATCCCTGGCATGGCTGAGTCCTGGGAAAGCCCTGGTGCCTCCAGCATGGCCAAGACAGGGCTCAAGAAAGCGCGCTGGGTACAGGGTAGTTCTATCTAGTTTATTGATGTTTGGGAAGAGCCTTCTATAGAAAAGCACATAACCAAGGACAACCCAGATACCTCTGAGAGAGAGCAGAGGGAAATCCCCAGAAGAAGGGACAGATCCAGTCCAAAGAAGAGGTTACTGAGCATCCTGGACTGCCTTCCACCAAGGAGCCCCCATTCTGGGATGGGGCCCCAGGTGGGAATGGGGTGATGACCCCCATTAACACAGGGTCAAAGAGAAGAAAGTGGGCACAGCCAGGAGTGTGCAGGTTCACTGTGGCTCCCAGTGGTGGGACTCAGATTCTGGGCAGCTCTAAGGACCTAGAAGGATTGAGGCCTACCTGTGCCAAGGACAGTGCTAGACAGCCCTTCAGAGTGACAAGAAAAGCCCTGCTTGGGGAGGGGGTTTTAACAACCCCAAACTTGTACAAGCAGAGCCAAGTCCGAATAGACAGCAGGACAGGCAGCCACGCAAGACCTAAGGGGAAAAGAGCAGGACCAGCTGGGCCTAGGGTGGCAACCCCGTCCCCTCCCCTGGGCCTGGCCTCAGCAAGGTGTGCCCAGGGGCAAGAGCGGGGGCGACTCCCCGGGCTTGTGGAAGTAGATAGAGGAGGACACCTCGGCCTTGAGCTTGTTTTCCGAGCCTTCGGCAGCGGAGACCTCGGAGGCCCCGCCGCAGTCCTCACAGCAGCAGCAGCAGCAGCAGTCCAGGAAGGCCTGGCCGAGTGGCCGGCACACGCACAGCAGCAGCACTGGTGTGATGGCACCCTTGAAGAAAGTGGAGAACTGGTTGACAAGGCCCAGGAGGTCCAGGGTCTGGCGTGTCAGCTCGGTGGACAGGTAGGCCACCACCACGTTGCAGACATTCTCGGGGAGTGTGCAGAAGGCGTAGACCACGGTCAGGCCCACCACCGTGCTGTTGAGCTGGCTCTCACACTGTGCGTGCTTGCCTGCCTGGCACTCCGGCTTCCTGCCCGGCGGGCCCCGCACCCGCCACGTCACCAGCTGGCAGGTAACAGTGAAGAGGATGGGCAGGCAGAAGTAGCAGCCAAAGTACCACCACATGCGGGCATTCTGGTAGGTCATCACCAGGGAATAGAGGGACTCAGGCAGGCTGGCTGACGGCTTCATGATGCACGAATCCACAGTGCCTGTGGTGGGGGCTGGCTCCTGTGCCAGCTGCCACAGCAGGAGCTCCGGCACAGCCAGAGTCATGGAGCCCACCCAGATGACAGCCAGCTTGGCCAGGATTGACTGGCACCGCTCAATGGGCCTCACCTTGGGCAGGGTGCTGGTGGCCACATGGAAGCGATCAATGCCCAAGGCACAGAGGCTAAAGGTCGTGACTCCCAGAGAAGAAACCTGCAGGCAGAGGTGCAGAGGGGACAAGAAGCTCTTGGTCAGAACCTACAGGGACAAGTGGGGAGCCCTGGTTTCTGGATTAGTCAATGAATTGTATCATGAGCATAGACCAGCGTGGGGCTGGGCCTAAGGCTGCACACTTGTGACCCCAGGAGTCTGCCAGGCTGACGCAGAAAGATCACAAGTTCAAACCTAGTCTGAGCAACTTCATGGTTTATCTGGCTTTTTTGTTTTAATAAAAACATTTTTAAAAAGGACTGGGATATAGCTCAGTGTGAAGGCCCTGAGTTCAGTCCCCAGCACCACAAAAATAAATAAATAAAAATGAAACAATGGTATGGCTTGCATTTGGCCATGGTCTTTGGCCATGGAGCAGTTTCTATATGTGAGCAATCTTTAAGAAATGGAGTCTGATGCAAGAAGAGACTCCTCCAGGACCCCAGTGCCGATCCACCCCGTGGTGGAGCTGGGGCTCACATGGCACCTGCCTCCTTTCTTCTCTCAGGCCAGGGGGTGCCCAACCCACCCCCAGCAGTCTGGGAGTCTAGATCATCTCTGAGGAAGAACAGGACAGGTACAGAAACCCTGTGTCTCTGCAGTCCCTCTTTTTCTTGACCTATGGGAGATGATCCTGGGAATACGGCTGACACATTCTCCTCCTCCCTCCATCCGAGAGATCCAAGGCCCAGCTGAGCGTCCCTTGGCTCAGCCAGTGTCCCTCACCCCACACACTATTCATCGGACTCACAGGAAAGACCCTTCTCGCCAGGAGGAAGAAGCCAGGCGGCAGGGAAGAAAGAGCCAAACAGCATAAAAGAGGAAGAGAGCAGCTCAGCTCCCAGACTGGCCCCCACCACACCCGGGGATTGTGCTCCAATGGCCTTCCTGTCCAAAGCCTTCACTCTGCAGGCTGGAAACACAATCCCAGGCTTATTCGCACTGCCACGGGTGTCCTTGGTGAGAGCCCCCACTCCTCTTGGCTAGGGAGCCCAGGCTTGTGGCGGAGCAGCCTGCAGCTCCAAGCAAACATGCCATTCTCTCCCCGCACCCTCGATCATCCCCAAGTTTATTTCAGGCTGCCTGCCCTGCCCTCCCAGAGGCCCACCTGATCCTCCTGCAGAAGAGTTCCAGAGCTGTTGTCCCCACTTCCACCCAGCGCCCAGCTTCCACCAGCTGCTGGGTCATCTCCACCCTCCTGGAAGGCCGAGGAGCACAGGGAGGGATGGGCTGCAACCCAGTCAGGCTGGGCCTCCATTGTCCAGCAACCTGGATCTGTAGTCCTTGGCCTCAGCCCCAGGAAGCTACAACTCACATGTCTGCCCCTCCCTCTTTCCCTACACCAGTCCCAAGTAAAGCCACCCTACATTCTATGTACTTTATGATGTTTACCCTTTGAATTCTTCAAGAATTGGGCTGATGAGTAATGTCAGCAGATACCTCTAATCCTAACAGTTTGGAGGTTGAGGCAGGAGGATCACAAATTGGAACCAAGCCTGAGCAATTTAACAATTTAGCCAAGGGGATTTTTTTTCTATTTTTTTATTGTTTGTTTTTGTTTTGTACAAGGTCTTACTTTGTAGTCCAGGCTGGCCTTGAATACACTGTGTATTACAGACTGATTGGAACTCACAACAATCCCCTGCCTCAGCTTCCCAAGTGCTGGGATTATAGGCGTGTGCCACCACACTGGCTCATTTTATTTTTAATGTGAAACTTTAAGAAAAAAAAAAAAAAAAGACCAGGGCTGTAACTCAATGTGAAGATACTGAATTTGACCTCCAGTGCTGCAAAAGAGAGAGAGAGACAGACAGACAGAGATACAGCAAGTGTTAACTCAGTAGTAGCACACAATTTAGCCCTCAGCTCAATCCCCAGCACTGGAAACAAAAAACAAAAGTTAGGCGTGGTGGCTATGACTGCAATCCTAGCACTCTGGGAGGTTGGGGCCGAAAGATCTCAAGTTAGAACTCAGTTTGGACAATTTAGCAACTTGGTGAGACCCTGTCTCAAATGTAAAAAGAACTGCAGAAGTAGCTCAGTGTGTGGGCCCTGCGTCCAACCCCCAGTACTAAAAAAAAAGAAATAATTGAAATAGTTATTACTATCTCCAATTTTCAGATAGGAAACTGAGGTGCTGGCAGGTCATAACCAAGATTACTTACTAGGGATGAGAGAAGCCCAGTTCCTGACCCTGACTGCCCAACCCTGAGTCCTGTGTCTCTCTGACCTCTCTCAGCCAAGCCAGGCCGGGAGTTTGGGATGAGACTCAACCGCAAAGGCTGCCCCAACTTTAGGGTCCCCTTCACGCTGGAGGAATTTGGGCCACCATCAGGTGATCTGCCCAGACAGGAGGGCCAAGCCTCAGAGACCCGGCTCAGCCGTAAAATCATCACTGACACACACCACGTGGAACACAGCGGGCAGCAAGACCTGCACACATCCCCAGTCCTGAGTCCTTCTCCAGTTGGGCAGTCACCGGGGTCATGCAGCAGCATCTGTAGAGGAACGACAGCCTCGGGGGAGGCCACAGTTACCACACTCTTCACTGTTACCGTGCAGCCAGGGGTTAAAATGCAGCTTCCTTATTTTGTGTTTTCACATGGAGAGAAGAGCGTCTTGGTTTCACACAACTTTACACCCAGCGGACCAGTTTCTCAGTGATATGATTACGTTTCCTCTATGTGATCTACACAGCCTTTTTTTTTTTTTTTGTCTTTTTCGTTTTTATCGGTACCAGGGATCAAACTCACGACTGCCTGCTTGCAAGGCAGGCGCTTATGCCGCTGAGCTAAATTCCCAGCCCCTACACAGCCTTTAATACCATGGGTTTGTCATCACACAGGAGTTTCCAGAACTAAGGACATAATGGCACACTTTAGAAAATTTTTTTCTTTTCAGTACTGGAGATTGAATACAGGAGCTTTGCATGGAGCTACATCTCCAGTTCTTTCTTTTATTTTTTATTTTGAGACAGGTCTTCCTAAGTCACTAAATTACCCAGGCTGGGCTTGAAATTTTGATTCTCCTGCGTCAGCCTCCCAGAGTGCTGGGGTTACAGGTGTGTACCACCCCACCTGGCTTACTTCAGAATTTTAGAATAGACCCTTTAGAAGGAACAAGTGGTCTACCCCCACCATGGGAGATAAGAAGTGGGAGAGGAGATGTGCCCTGCCCTGTGACAGAGCTGTATGTCAGTGATAGAGCTGAAACCAGAGCACTACTAACAGCAGTGAGTGCCCAAATGCAAGTCCTGCCTTTCGGGGAGGACTCAGGCTAGTGGTAGACACAACAGTGATGACCACAGAGTCCCAGTCAGGAAGGGAAGATGACTCTGTCGCCCTGGTGCTCACACTCAAAGCAGGGGCACTGACCTGGCCCCCAGTGGGTCTGGAAGACCTTAGCTCCTTCTGACATTGCCTGGGGGCAGAGTGTTAAGATCGGGTGCTGTGGGTGCAGAGCAGTGGCTCCAGCATAGGGGAGACAAAGGACAAAGGACTTCTTGGATAGAACAATGAAGGGAAGGGCGAGGGGAGGGGGAGTTTGGATCTAAAGAAAGTGACAGGGACTGTTGGAGGCAGCCCCACAGTTGGGGCCCACAAGAGCTCACACTTACCTCCATGAAGGGCACGGCCCGGCAGGAAATGTCACCCAGCAGCCGCTGCTTGGTGATCTCATTGAAGATGACAACAGGGAGGCAGAAGAAGAGGACCAAGAAGTCCCAGAGGGCCAGGCTCGCGAGGATGGAATTCCAGGCACTCTTCAGGTAGTAGCTATGCCACACGATGCACATGACCGACAGGTTGCCCACGATGCCCACGGCAAACACTACCAGGGCCAGGAGCATGACGGCATAGGCACTGTAGGAGCTCTCAGTCACCGGGTACAGTGGGTTCTGGATCTGTAGCCTTTGACTCGGCGTCCCCGTCAGATTGGCCTTAGGCTCTTGCCCGATGCCTGGGGCATCACCACCCTTGTCGGGGTTGGGACTAGTGGCCGCCCAGGGTGTGGTGGGCTGCAGGTCCGCAGGGTGGATGGGCCGTGGGTACTCAGCCCACTCCTCAGGTACATAGTGCTGTACCTCCTTGGCCACCTTGGCCTCAGTGCCCCTCCTGGACCGGCTCTGCTGCTCCTGGGCCTCAACCCTGTGCCCATGCAGGGCACCACTGGAGACCCTGCCCTGGCCCACAGCCCACACAGCAGAGAGAGAGAGCGCCAGGGGCCACAGCCACCGCATGGCCGGACACACAGGAAGCAGCTGCCCAAGGAGAGCAGGTAAGGCTGGGGACCCAAGTGCTGGGCAGAACCAAGAGGCAGCTGGTGGCTGGGTCCGCCTCCTATCAGGCGTTGCATAGCCGGCCCTCCCTCCCACCCACAGGCCACGGGCTGGCCAGGCCCTCTGCTGGTCACAAAGAAGTCTTTGCTGTCCTCCAAGTCCTCCCTTGCAGGCCCAGGACCATGGCAAGTTGGACTGGGGCGCCTTCAGAGGGCACCTGCTCAGGCCAGCATGGGATCACAGCTGCCCATCGATGCAGCGGGGCGATGAGAACTAGGTGTAGCTCTCCTGTCTGATTCTACCTGATTTTAAGGCAGCTCCAATCTGTGAAACTGACCAAAACAATCACCAAATTCCTTGAACATTTAGCAGGTCCTAGCACTCAGCTGGTTTCTCGCTGACTCCTCGTGATGTTCTATGGCATAAATGCTATTGGAATCCACTTTTCAGACTTGAAATATGAGGTTTGTAGAGGCCGTCACTAGCACCACAAAAATAAAAACAAAAAAGTCCACTATACTCTGAGCCAGACACAAGATGGATAATATGTATTTACTGAATATCTGCTGTGCTTTATTTCTGCTGTTGTTGTTTTTGTTGTTTGAGACAGTATCTCAGTATATAGTTCAGGCTGGCCTCAAACTCATGGGGATCCCTCTGCTTCAGCCTGCTAAGTGCTGGGATCACAGGCATGAGCCACCATGTCCCTTGCTGTGCTTTAGACACAGGGTACAGAAATGCAAATGATGCCAGTCATGATGGAATACACTTAGAGTCCCAGGTTGAGACAGGAGGAGAAAGGTAAATTTGACCCCAACCTGCGCAACTTAGCAGGACCCCACCTCCATCTCAACATTAAGAACAACAAAACAAGTAAAGGACCAAGGATGTGGCTCAGTGCAAAGGCCCTGGCCTCACTCCTAGAACAACAACAAAACAAGAAACTTCTGCTGCTAAGGAGTTTTTGGTCCAGCGGGGAAAATAACTAACTATGCAAATAAATAATTACAACTTGATGCTGTGACAGGCAAGTGTCACAATGCCAAGGAAGCTGGCGCAGCGGGGCGGGTGTGGGGGGAGTCCTGGGAGACCTCCAGAGCAGGGGACATCTGAATGGAGCCTGACACCTGCTATGGTTGCCTAACAGACTCTGGGGAGAGGGATGATGTCCCAGGCAGAAGATGCCACAGACTCAAGGTTCGGCAACACCAATGTGGGGTGGGTGATATTCCTGAAAGCAGCATGTGTCATTTGGAGGAGATTGGGGGGCAGGAGGATTCATGGAGAGGGCTTCTATGTTCATATCAAGAGGTCTGTTCTGGAGGGGTAGGGAGGGACTTTGTATGCCACACCTGGGCGCTGAGCCATTACCTAAGGCAACAGAGAGGTTTCACAGGCTACTACACAGAGACGTCGCCTTTGCTTTGCAGAGGACCCAATAGACAGCTGGGCCTCTGGAAGCAGGAGCAGGTGGATGCGAAGGCAGGCAAAACCACAGGTTCCAGGAGAAACTGCAGTATGGAAAGGCAGCAGAGAGGCCGGGGCAAGTCCCCCACTGCACAGCACAGGTGAGGAGTCCCAGCGAGCGGGGATGCTGTGCACATGTGGAGCTCTGCAGGGCAGGAGGGAAGCAGCTGCAGCCCAGGAGAAAGCCTGCAGCAGATGGGCAACGTCAGCAGCACACTTGCAGCGCAGGCAGTGGGGACAGGGACAGGGCAGAGGAGACACAGGGGCCCCACATCGCTCAGAGGAAAATGGAATAAAAGGAGTTCGGGAAGGGAGGCTATGCTCCTGCTCCTTGCCCACCAGGGACACCTATTTGTTTGACCAGGGCTGGATGTCACTTACACAATCAGCGTAAATGTTAAGGAAGGTCTCCCAGGGTGGGGGACCCCCAACTTGGAAGCAGCTTTACTGCAAGACTTCCTGACCAGAAAACCTGACGCCCTACCCACAGGGGCCCTGATATGCCACATGCTGCCTATGGTGGGATACGCTGTAATCCCAGCGCTCTGGGAGGCTGAGGCAAGAGAATCCCAAGTTCAAGCCCAACCTAGGCAAGTTAGTAACTTAGCAAGCCTGTCACAGAATAAAAAAATTTAAAAAGGGCTGGGGATATAGCTCAGTGTGAAGTCTCTGGGCTCAGTCCCCAGTAAACCTGTAATTGTTGTTGCTTTGGGACCAGAGACAGAAGGATTACCATTTGAGGTCGAGCCTGAGCAACTTCTCAAGACCCTGTCTCAGAAAACAAAATTTAAAGAGCTGGAGTGTATACTCATGGCAGAGCATGTGTTTAGCAAGCACCAGGCTGTGAGTTCAAACCTCAGTGCTATGAACTAACAAACAAAATCGGGTCTCCAGGGAAAAAAAAAGGTGGTGTGGCGGTGGACAGCTGTAACCTTGGTGCTCAGGAAGCTGAGGCAGGAGGATGATGAGTTCTAGGCCAGCTTGGACTACATAGTGAGACCTTGCCTGGGGTGAGGCAGCTCCAGCCAGGTCACCGTGGAGTCAGCAGGTCAGGCAAGTCCCCCACCCCTTGCTGTCTCAGCTGTCCCCTTTGCAGTCACCCACCAGACGCTCACAGTGGAGGAGGGCAGCGGGAGTCTCACTGCACTCTGAGCCTTAGGAAGGCTGGGGAAAGGCTGTGTCTTGAGCATTCAGTGCTCAGTCCGTGCTCAGAACTGATCCCCCTGACAACCAGCCTTCATACCTGCCCCGGAGAGACCCTGCCTCCCCTCCTGTCCACACTCTCAGGGCCCAAGACTCCTCCCATCCGAACCCACATCCACTGCCTCGAGATGTGGGCATGCAGGTGAGCAGATCCCCACTGCCCAAGCTGTTCCCTGCATTCCCACCAGGTGCCAGCCTGTCACAAGCACTCTGAATAATTTGCTCTTCATCTGTGGTTTGTCACTTGAGGTCAGAGAGGTAGTACAGTTTGCCTGAGGGTGCAAGGTTAGTGAGTGACAGCTGGCATCCAGATGCAGGTTTATCAAACTCCAAAGCTACAACTCCTTTGTGTATTTTACAGCATTTCCTCTCTTCTTTCTCTTTCTTTCCTTCTTTCTCTATTTACTTAGGCAGTCTTGGGGGACTGAACTCGGGGCCTTCACACTTAGGCATGTCCCCAGCCCATTTTTTTTTACTTTTATTTTGAAATAAGGTCTCACTTATTAGCTCAATTACCCAGACTGGGCTCAGACTTCCAATCCCAACTCTTTTTAGTACCAAGATCAAACTCAGAACCTCATATTTGCCAAGCAGGTGCTGTGCTACTGAGCTATATTCTCAGCCCAATATCCAATTCTACTGAAGAACTCACTGATATGGGAAAGGCTCTTAGACATGTACCAATGCTCTTATTTCCAAAGTCAAATACCAGGTGTTCCTAGGTCTCTCTCTACTGCGGATACTCAGGGCTCCCGGCCACTGCCAACGTGGCACAGACCCTACTACAGGCCTGGCATCCGGGGAAGCAACCAAATGTGAGTCCACTGCTCTTTTTTTTATGCTCATGAGAATGCGACTTCCCACGTCCTAATGTACCCTACACGCAGTCGTGCTCAGTAAAGAGCACTCCCTGTTCGAGTCTCCGGGAGGACATTGGGACATAGCAGCCGCCAGGTGGGGCCAGAGGCTCAGAGGTGGACGCCAAGAGTCCCTCAGCTCCTGGCGGACACACAAGGCCCACGCCCCAATCCTGGTCTGCAGACTTCTGTGCGGTCCAAGAAGATCTAACAAGAGATGACGTGGGTCCGTGACCAAGGCGATGGCAGAGTGTGACAACCAGCTCACCGCCCTTGAGAGGCCTAGCGTGGGCCCCATGCTCCTTACGGTGCCTGCTGCTGCTTCCGTTTTCCCTGGCAAGGGGGCATCGTGCATCCTCAAAGCACACAGGGCAGAAGTGGAAGCTTTCAGGGCCACGGGAATGTCTCCACGATCCCAAAAATTCCCCATTCTTCTCCCTGGGAATTCCCCGCCATGTTGGAGACAGAAAAGGCGCTTAGATCCAAGGGATGGGAGAGGCTGGGCTGTTGCTGGCCCTGGCTGGGTGAAGGACCCTGAACTACCATGCAGAGGCCACCCAAAAATGAGGGAAACGCTGGGTTCTCCCTGAGGAGGTGCTTGGTTCTCCAGCCAGACATACTTGGTGCATCCAGACTGCCTGGATGTCAGGCCTGGCTCTGCCACTCTGTGTGTGTGTGTGTGTGTGTGTGTGTGTGTGTGTGTGTGTGTGTGTTCACACACAAATGTATAGCACTGGAAACAGAACCCAGGCCCTTTGCACTGAACTGTATCCCCAACACTTTTTGTTTTATTTATTATTTTTTTTAATTTTATTTTTTTATGTATTTACTTCGTTTTTTTGAGACAGGGTCTTACTATGCAGTTCAGACTGGCCTTGAGCTCACTTTGCAGTCCAGGCTGGTCTTGAACTCACGAGCATCTTGCCTCAGCTTCCCAAGTGCTGAGATTACAGGCATGCATCACCACACCCAGCTTTTTATTTTATTTTTGAGACTGGATCTCACTGTATAGTTCAGGCTGGTCTCAAACTCAATATGTAGCTCAAACTGGCCTGGAATTTATGGTGATTGTCTTGCCCCAGCCTACCTAGTGCTGGAATTATAGGTGTGCACCACCACGCTCAGCTCACTCTTTATTTTCAGACTGGGTCTCACAAGTTCATAAATTGCCCAGGTTGGGCTCCAAGTTGGGATCCTCTGGCCTCAGCCCCTCAGAACGCTGAGATTACAGGTGTGTGCCACTACCCCTGACTTGGGCGCTGCTACTTGGTCACCTGTGAGCTCATCTGTGTCCATTCCTAGAAAAGCGTCTGGCAGACGGAAAGCAGGGTATGAGTGTTGCCTGATGCTGCCTCCTGCTGGAACTCACTCACTATTTCTCACATAGCCTGATGGGGTAGAGCAGTGTCTGTTATCTTCGTTTCACAGATTTGGAAATTGGTGCTCAGAGAGAGGAGAGGCAGCCAAAGACAAGGAAAGGCTGTTCTGGGTCAAGTTCCCCTCTCCAGGAAGGGACACTAGGTAGCCCGAAGCAGGAACTGAGTAGAATTGGGAGAAGCATAGATACCATGAACCCCCAAATGCTGCAGCAGTTCCCCTCCAGGCACTGGGTTTCTGGGCCCAAGAGACACTGGGGTCCTGCTCCAGAGGACAGGCCAGGGCCCACTGGCGGGAAAGTGCCCCTTAAAAGTCAGAGACCTGGGGACCGGTGATATGACTCAGCGGCACAGCGCCTGCCTGGCAAGTATGAGGTCATGAGTTCAATTCCTGGACAGGAACCTGGGACCTGGTCCCAGCCTGGCAGCTGAGGGGTCCTGTGACGTCAGTGATCAGTTTATGAAGATTCACTGAGCATCTACTGTGTGCTGGGCACTGTCTTAGAACAAAGTGACTTCCATCCTCATGCAATGACACTGCAATGAAGGAAGCAACCACTGTGAGCCAGAGTGGTGGTTGGGATCTTGTAGTGCCGGCACACAAGACGCTGAGGCAGGAGGATCACCATGAGTTCAAGGGCAGTTTGCATAGCACAGCAAAACACTATTTCAAACAAACAAACATCAAAAGATCTAAAGGAAAAATAAAAGATGGAAAACTCTCTGTCCTTACTCCTGAGTTAAAGACAGATAGCTGGATAGATAGATGATTTAAATAGATAGGGCCTCTAATAATAGAAATCTGTTTGCAATGTATGTTCTTATCTTTGATCTGTTAAATTAGAAGCTAGGGTGGAACCAGCAACTAGTGTCTGTTACTGTTGTAATTGTTTTCAATATAGAGATTGAAGCCAGGGCCTTCCCCAGCCCTTTTTTTTTTTTATTTTATTTTTAGGCAACATCTTGCCAAGTTATTAAGTTGCCCAGGCTATTCTCAATCTTGGAATCCTTCTGCCTCAGCCTCCCAGAATGTTGGGATTATAGCGTGCAGTACTGTGCCCAGCGCAATTACAGTTTTTTTGTTTTTTAAGCAGGTCCTCCAAGGGACCCTGATGCAGCCTGGAGGAAAACTGTCATATAAAGTATTCCAACTGCATTCAAATGTAAAGGTCCCCCTGCTAAATGCATGGCAGGGGGCTGCAGGAGGATGAGGGCATCCTGGGATCAGACTCCCTGGAACAGGCAGGTTCCACGTCTTCAAGCTGCGTTCTCAGTGCCTGGAATTCAGTGGCACTTAAAGCATGAGTCTAATAAAAGAACACATAAATGGTTCTGTAATCAGGGTTAAAGGAGAACAAGACAATACAGGACACATCATTTATGTATTATTTTATGATAGTCATCCAGAATCAAACACAAGAAGTGCAGGAAATCTGTCTGCACACCAAAAACCTAGAAAATCCAGCCAAGGGCCTGAAAACCATGGCAATAACTTGCATGAATTCAGCTGAAAACCTAGAGCCTATGACAATGCCTCCCATGAGTCCAACTGGAGGACTAGGGCTATTTCACGAATCTGCACCGGGAAGGCCCAACTGTCAGTGGTGGAAGCCAGAGTCTATGCCAGGGTGAAGAATCTGTGCCCCTAGGTTGAGGATTCTGTACTGGAGGCAAGAAGCAATGCTCAAAATAAAGACCAGGGCTCTCCTGAAAAGTACCATGGCCATCCTCAATGGCAATGAGGTCCCAAGCTCCTCCAATGATGAAAGCAGCCAAGTTGATATCAGGAAGCCAGTGTAACAAATCTCCTAGAGATAAAATAGCACCCATCTTCCCCTCCAGAGCCAGGAAGCAATGCTCAAAGTAAAGACCAAAGCTGCCCCAAACTGCAGCCATTCTCAGGGACAAGGTCCCAAGCTCCTCCAATGATAACAGCCAAGTTCATATCAGGGAAGCCAGCATGACAAGCTCCTCCAGGAGAACCAACAGTTCCAAACAACACCATTAAGAGAACCCACAAGGCTATACTTCCTTTCCAGGTCTTTTTATGCTGGCAACTTTCCTCATGTGGGCCATCTACATCCAGCACCACACTGATATTTGGGGGGGCGGGCTTTGGGCTGTTTCCAAGAACCACACTGATTTTGTTCAGCTGGTGTTTAATGGCAGGTTTTGGGGGGCTGTGGGTAGAAAGATGGGGCTCGATATATTGTTCAGGAGGCTGGTCTAAACTGGATTTGAATGATCCTGACAGGGAGGCTAACATGTTAGCCTCCCTGGTAGCCAGGACTGCCCATTCACTAGGCCAAAGAGGACTCTTCCAATTCAGTGACCTGGACTTTTGGGACCCAACTGGCTGCCCCATCAGAATAAAATCCCAACCTTTGATGAGAAACATATGTGCAATAGGAAGGGAGTAAGTCACATATTTGCTGAACAAATGTTTACAAAATGCATTCTATGTGGGAGACATGTAACATGCTCAGAAGAATTTGGGCAAGGTGACCCATGCCTGTAATGTCAGCACTCTGAGAGGCTGAGACAGAAGGATCTCAAGTTTGAGCCCAGTCTATACAATTTTACAACTTAGTTAGACCCTATCTTAAAATAAAAAAGGACTGAGGACATAGTTTAGTACAAGACCCTGGTACATGCTCGTAAGCCCAGGAGTCTGAGGCAGGAGGCTCTTACTTTGAATTAGAGGCCAGCCTGGGCTACACAGTGAGACCCTGTCTCAAAAAAACCAAAAATAAATAAAAATTTAAAAATAAAGCATTGGAGCTGGGGATTTAGCTCAGCGGCATAAGCTCCTGCCTTGCTAGCATGCAGTTGTGAGTTCAATCCCTGGTACCGATAAAAAAATAAATAAATAAAAAATAAAGCATCAAGGGCCTGGGGATTTACCTCAGTGGCATAAGTGCCTGCCTGACAAGTGGGAGTCACGAGTTCGATCCCAGTTACCAATAAATAAATAAATAAATAAATAAATAGATAAATAACACTCCATTGCCAGAAAGGTCACAGTCTGCTCACATTGCTCCTTTCCTAGGGATGTGTCTCGGAAAAAATTCACGTGGTCGTTGTGTTCCCTGGAAGACTGGACACAGGTGCTTGAACAGCCTGGCCATCACCACAGTGGTGAGGGACAGGGGTGGTCTAGGAACTGAGGCCTTGAGGGCAGTCAGCTGGGCTGGGGCGGGGCTTGGGTGAGTCAGTGAAGGCTTCCTAGAGGGCCAAAGAGGAATTTCTCCTGGGGCAGAGCCTGGTGGAAGTGAGGGAGCCAGTTAGGCAGACGGGAGGTGAAACGTAAGCTCCAGGCAAGAAAGGGGCTGGGGCCAGAAGAGCCGGCCAGCTGGGTGGAGCCCACTGGCCTGTCCACCAGCTCCTGTCTTCTAAAGGCCTGCAGCTGAACAGGTGGATGGCGGCGAGGCCCTGGGGACCTCAGGCACTGGGGATCGCTCCTGCAGACACCTGGGCCAGTCCATCCCCAGGATGCTGCTGGTCCCTGCACAGCTGAGGTCCTGGTTCTGGAACCTGGAGTGAGTCTGGAGACCTGAGAAGGGGTAGCTTGAATGCCTGAGGAGCAAATGACCACACCCTGATGTCACCTGTCCCATGGCCCCTGGCCCTAGCTCCCAGCCCTCAGGCACCAGCACCCACACCCTCCTCCCTTCACCCCAAACCTCATCTCATTGCCAGACAGCAGTAGGGCGGGCACAAGATTATTCATGGTCAGGTGCCCGGGTTGTGTCCCTTTCTGCTTTCTTGCTCTGACGTCCCAGCTTGAGCCGCCAAGCCCCAGTGCTTGGCAGAAAAGAAAGCTTCCCAGAGCTGAAGAGGACTTAGCCCTGCGTCCTCAAGGTCTGGGTAGAAGCCAAGGAAATGCAGGGATGAGTTCCCACTCCGGAGTCTTCCCCGGCTGCAGGGCAGCTCCTTCCCCCGCTTCCCTGGAGTCCATGGCTTGTCCTGGACACAGTCTGCAGCTGGAGTCACACAGAACCACTGTCCCACGCTTCCAAGCTGTGCAGCAGTGGGAACATCACTTGACCTGTGCCAATCTCATTTTCTTTCTCCTATAAATGAGGAAGGTAGCACGCACCTTCCACGTTATCCTGAACATTAAAGTACAGGACTTGCAGGACACCTCCTAAACGAAGGTTGGTCCTAATAAAAGTCAGTTCCTTTCCTCCTCCCCACTGTTCCTACACCCTGGACCTGGGCTAAGGGTGCATCCCCTCTCCAGTTTCCACCCTGGGGTCCTCAGAGCCCACCGTTCTGCCTCCTCGAAATGTGCTCCACCTCATGTTGCTGAGGAACCGTACTGCTAGAACCCCAATACCCGGGACACCCAGGAATGGGGCTTCCCGCCAAGAGTTCACGCTACACCCACCTTAGCCACAGGCTCAGGTCTGGGGTGGAGCAGAAACAAAGAGCTTCAGAAGGAGGGAGACAAAGGTCCCAGCCACACCTCCTTGCGGGAAAGATGGAGGAAATTCCCTGCAATGCAAAGGAGGCTAAAGATAGACTCAGACACCCTGCCTGTGCCACTCTGCCTCCCGACACCGCCTGCCACCCCGCCCCGTCAGCCTCCATCGTCCCAGATAGCCAGAGCCAAGCAGCAGTGCAAGATCTAGTGTGAGACTGGACCCAGGGACGGACAGTAAGACCTCCAGCCCTACCTGCCCGGGCTACCCTGGGCCAAGGGCTCCGAAAGTCTCTGTCACTGAGCTCTTGCCCACCCCCAGCCTCCCTTGCAGCTCTCTTGGGATTCAGTCTTTTCCTCTCCTGTCTAAACCAGGACAAATGCCTGTGCATCTGCAGGACTTACCTGCAGACTTACTCTTTGTTTTGCCAAAATTTGGGGTTGATCACATGGGGGCTGAGAGGGTCTTTTGCTAAAGCAAAAATAGTGTGAGAGCAAACTGCAGGAACCACAGGACCTTTGTCATGCCAGCCTCCCCAGTGCCCAGCACAGCATCTGACATGAAGAGTGTACTTCATACACGTTAGGACTTTTTTTTTTTGATACTACGTAGTAAGAGACATGGTATCACACTGTGTAGTTCAGGCTAGCCTCAAATTCTTAGCAACCCTCCCGCCTCAGCTTCCCATGTGCCATGACTTCCCTAGTGCCTGGCTCACATTAGATATTTTTGTTTTCAGCAGGACAATGGCAGCTCTGTCAAGGCCAAGACTAGTGGCTCTGTCTTAGGTAGTAGGAGCACCCTGCTTCTGGATCACACATCTTGACAATGTATGGATCTCCCCTGAACCTGCCAGGGCTGTTGATGCCTCCAGCACAGCCTGGAACTCTGGCACTAACAGCAATAACATCTCCACTCAACTCTGCCAGCGCTTGGACAGAGTTAGGCCAGAAGGCTGGGGGCAACACACTGCCCCTTCCCCATCCCTTCCTCTAGGCATCCTGGATTCCAAAACCAGCTGGGGGCACCCACTCAGGAAGTCCTCTCGGCAGAACAATGGGCCAGCATCTGACCGGGCTCCTAGAACTTTGGCCCCATCATCAACAGTAAGCACCACACTGTCCTCTGGGTGGGGAACCCTCTGTCTTAGTCCTGGGCCCTGCCCATATAAAATGGCTTTGTTGTTGTTGTTTTGATGTGAGGTTACATAATATAGCCCAAATTGGCCTTGAACTCTCAGAGATCTTCCTGCTTCAGCCCCAAGTGCTGGGATTACAGGTGTGCACCACCACCGATTTTCTAGAGCTCTCAAGTCCCCTCAAACCCAGCATTCCTAGAGAGAACTCTGTAATATTCAATGTTTGTTTGTTTTGTTTTTTGCCTTTTTGTCTTTTTGAGTTCAGGTTGGTTTTGAACTCACTTTGTAGCCCAGGCTGGTTTTGAACTCAGGCAATTCTCCCACCTCAACCTCTCAAGAGCTAGAATTACAAGGGGGCACCACCATACCTGGCTGGTTTTTGGGTTTTTTGTTTGTCTGTTTGTTTATGTGCTCATTTTGGTTTTTTTTCTGTGCCACTGAGGGATATCACTGGTCCTTGTTTCTCATGAGTATATATTTTTGTTTCATTTTATTTTGTTTTTATAGGCCTGAGAATTGAACCCAGAGCCTACATACTAAGCTACATCCCTAACTCTTTTTATTTTGTATTTTGAGGCACAATTTGCTAAATTGGTAAATTGCCCAGTTTGTCCTCACACTTAAAATCCTCCTGCCTCAGCTACCCAGAGCACTGGGATCACAGCCATGGTTAGTTCATTTGCTCATTTGGTTTCTGTCTTCTGTGGGTTTTTGGAGGGTGAAGGGAAATTAGAGGGAAAGTTTTTAGGTCACTGCTGGTCCTAACAGTTCACAAAGCTACCACTGGGCAAGATCTGTTGCAGTGTCCTGGCCTCCTTACTTTTGTCAGTCTCAGAGCCAGGAGGCCAAGGAGAATGACTGATGGCAGAAGCAGGAAGGAGAAGGCTGGGGTGGGGAGGCTTTCACCTGGGCAGATGTGTGTTTTCACTTTGGGATCCGGCTCCGGGCTCAGGGTGTCCGCCTGTGTCCGCCTCTGTATTAGCGCTGGAGAGCAGCTGCACAAAGAGACTTCCATTTCTTCTAGAATGGCTGAGGCTGGGTGTGGTCCACCAGATGGCTAGCAGGGTACAGGTGTGTCTGGCTGGAAAAGGTCCCTGGGCCTCAGCCTCCGGATTGGCTGCCAGTGAGTCACAGAGGTTGGGTTCCTGAAGCGGAGCTAATTGGCTGTCATGGAGTTGGGGTCACGGCCTGCCTTATCTTTAGGGCCTTCTCCTGCCAGGCCAGACGGACAATGTTCCCTGTACGGGTGATGACGCTCACGGGCTGCTGACTCGGGTTAGTGGGATATGCCCTTTGGGTAGCTTTCCCAGCAGGCTGTGGGCGCCCTTTGACCTCACCACACCCTGACTCCTTGGCCCTCTGAGCCTGAGAGAGGGGCTGGCTGGCTGGGACCTGGAAAAGCCAGAAAGCAGTTTCCTCAGTTCCAGAAGAGCAGCCTGAACTGACAGGCAACATGGAAGTGTTTGTGGGTAAACATTCTAGAGACCACATCCAGGACCAGAGGGGCAGGTGATGTTGTCATGGTAACTTGTGGGTCTCCCGAGAGAGTCTGGCCAAGGACAGAGAAAAGGCTCATGGGGGCGTCCTGCACTGGCTTTCCAGACCCAGGGTTCCCTGACCATGCAGGAGAAGGATTCTGCCTCCCAGTCTCAAGTTCCCATCTGCACGAGCTGCTCACTTTTCCTGGGCCAGAGTGTAGTGTTGCACGTCCTCCAGGAGAAAGGCTGGACACCACGCCTGGGCTTGGGAGGAGCACAGTGGATCTCAAGGAGGGGTCACTGCCAAGGTCACTGGTGGAGACAGGCAGACAGCAGGAGGCCACAGGACGCAGGAACGCTCTCTTTCTGCTTGACCCTTTGTTAGCATCCCAGATCCCACTCAGCCCGGGTTGGAGTCCCATGCTGATCTTGGCCCAGGGCTGTGACTTCTGGGCCACTCCCACGCTTTAGCAAACAGCCACACACATGTCCATCGGCCTCCTTGTCTGCCTGCTCAAGCAGGATACATGTCTACAGCCGGGTGGTGGGGAACAGTCTGGCTACAGAGGTCCAGGCAGGCGCCTGCGGGCTCCCAGTGCTGCCAGGTTACCTGTGGGCACCTGGGCTCCTGGCTCTTACTCGCTGGGTCTGCGCAGATGTCATCCAGGGTGCCTGGGCAGAGCGCCAGAGGAAATTTTCCACCTGCCTGGCTTTGTTGTCTGTTCAGTGGCCTGGAGCCTGGGGCTGGGCTTTGGGCTGGGCCACGGCTCTTCGAGTATCTGCAGGGGAGCTTCTAGGGGGTTGGGGCCACCTCACACAGGATTTGCCACTCCTACACCATCTTTCCTTCAGTGACCCAGAAAGGTCTCTTCTTTCCTGAGGGCAGATGCAGAGCTGGTGGGGGAAAGGGAAGGTCTGGTGCCAGGCTGGTGAAGCCCTCCCAGCAACCACTGTAAGCCAGGCTTCTCAGGAGCCTTGATTCATCCACCTAAGCTCCTGCCTTGCACAAATGAGAATATGGGGGCACCGGGCAGTGCCAGTGGACATGCTGCAGGTCACAAAGAGGCGGTGGCCAAGCCAGCACTCAAAATCCAGATCCACAGCCCAGCGTCCTTTACCAAACCGTTCAGCTCCCTCCTCCCCACCCACTGTTCCCTATCCCAGGTTGAAGCAGAAGTAGGCATAGGTGTGGGAAGGTGTGGTACGTGTCCTCACCTATCACACTGGTCACAGCTAATACTCCTCTAACAGATAGGCTAATGAGCACAGTATAATTTTTTTTTCATCTTCACACAAGGGGTTAACAAAATTTTTTTTTTGAGATAGGTTCTGGCTATGTAGTCCAGGCTGGCCTCCAGTTTGTGACCCTCCTTCCTTAGCCTCCCAAATGCAAAGCATAACAGCTTTATTTAGAGCTCAGGAATAAAGACCCAAAGCCCAGGGAAAACTGATTTTTTTATTTGTTTGTTTGCTTAGGTTTCATGAAGAATGGGCAACTACATACCAATGTGATTGGACAAAGGGTGTGATCTGATGCTCACACACTGATCGGGACCCAGCAAGGCCTGTCCAGATTTCTCTTGACCTCTTTGTGTGGCCTTTCTCTCAGATGTGAAGGATCCCTTGGTAAAAGAAGCAGAAGGAAGTTTTAGCTTCTATAACCTGCCTTGGAGAAATGGTGTCCTGTTTTGTTGTTATTGTTTTTTTTTTTTTTTTTTTTTTTTTTGTCTTTTTTGAGACAGGGTCTCACTGTACAGTTAAGGCTGGCCTTGAGCTCACTTTGTAGCCTAGGCTGAGTCTGGAATTCGTCTGCCTCAGCCTCCTGAGTGCTGGGATTACAGGTATGAGCCACCGAGGCCGGCTCTGTTGTTGTTTTGGTGTTAAAAATGGAACTCAGGACCTCGGGCTTACCAGGCAAGTGCTTGTGCCGCTGGGCTATATGCCTCACCCTGAAGTCCTGCATTTTTTATAACCTACTTTGGGGGAGAAAGAGTGGGAGACAGGAAAAGACTCAGAGGCCTCACTTGGGAGCCCCTTCAGGCCCCTTTAGTTTGAGCTATGGATCAGGCCGATACACCACACTCCAAGGTATATGGTCAGAACCCCAACACAGGGCCACTGGTCTCCCAATGGCCTTCTCCTCTTACCCACCAGTCACCCTTCCTCAGCTCAGGGCTTGGGGCCCCAGCCTGCCACCATGCCTCCTCAATGTGAGCAGCAGCTCTGGTGGCCCTGCCACTTTCAGTGACCTGCCCTCCAGGACTGGCTGAGCTGTGGCGGATGACCCTGGGCTAAGGGTGGAACCATGCTTCTCTACAGGAGGATGTGAGGACCGAGGAGGCCACTGGTAACCATGAGAAGCTGGAAGCCAGGAGATTGGGGCCAGATAGCTGAGGGCTGAGCCATTCGGACCACAGGGCCGCCTCCCCCCCAACCCTTCACGTAGCCAGGTAGCTCAGAGTCCTCCTCCCAGATACAGGCCACCTGTGGAGGGTGAGCTCATCCGTGGCCCCAGCATCCCCGGGCCCAGAACCCTCACCTCCCCCCAGTGTGGGGGCAGTGACCAGGTGACCCAGGTGCACCTGCTGCCTCCTGGAGTAAACACCAAGGGAAGGCTCAGGGCGAGGGCGGGAGGAGGTGAAACTGGTGCTGGGAGGGAGCAGTGAGTCATACCTTTGTGCTGTGGCACCAGGGACTGGGGAGTGGGGAAGACTGGGGACAGATCAGTGGGGGCTGACTCAGGCCCCACACACCCTCCTCCAGAGCTCCCAAAATGGTCATGTGGAAACCATTCCTCCAAGCTCCTTGTGTCAGTGCCCAGAGAGAACAAATGATTTATCTAGGGAGATACACTGCAAGTTAGTGGTCCCCAGTCTCCTGAACTAGTTGTGTGTTAAATCCTGGTGTTGGGATCAGTGGGGTCTCCCTGCTCAGTGGATCTCTACCCCCTGGCAAAGGCTGGAGAGAGGTCTATAGTTGCAATTGTTGCTAGGGTGAAGTAGGTCTCAGAGCTTCCTGGGGTGGGGGCTGTGCTCCCTCTGCCTCGTTGATGTCAGCTGGGTGTCACTGATCCCTGGAAGCCCTGCCCAGTGGTGTGACATCATGGGACTGGGCCTGCTTTCCAGTGAAGGGCTCCACCCTGCCAGAGAGGTGGAGCAAGCTGTTCTGGGTCAGGTCCGTGCACAATACAATCCAGTAGGCAAACAGACTGCAACATTGACCGAAACTCGAAACTTGGAGACCTCTGTTGCCCACTGCCCACTGCCCCCGAAACCCAGGATCCCTGGAGCACCTGCCCCAGGCGACTGAGTCAGCTCTCCTCCTGGCTAAATTATGAATAACACAAAGTCAGGTCTTTCCTGACCACACGTAGTAGTACTGTGGTTAAGAGGGTGGAATTTAGAGAATTCTGAGTATCGGGTCATCCCAGCGTCATGCTAGCAAATCTCAGCTTGTCACCACTCAGCTGTGAGACCTGGGCAGGTTCCTGACCTCACTGCAAATCAGGGGTGAGAATACTTACCTCAAAGGATTTGGTGAAGATTAAAGGCAATGAATTGGGTATCTCAGGCCCAGTCACTGGCAGGTAGCCATATGGACTTGAATTTGCTCTTTTCTTTTTTATGTGGGGCTGAGGATCAAACCCAGGGCTCTAACAGGCTGGGCATTCACTCTGGGTGACACTCTTGGCTCCTTAGGCTCAAGTTTTATGAAATCAAACACAAATATTACAGAAGTGAATTTTAATAATAATGATAAACCAGGTGTGACACGACAGTATGTATATATACGCAATCCCAGTTACCTGAGAAGCTAAGGCAGGAAGATCACACTTTGAGGCCAGACAAGGCAATCTAGCAAAATCCTAGGGGCTGGGGATTTAGCTCAGCGGCATAAGCGCCTGCCTTATAAGCAGGCAGTCATGAGTTCAATCCCCGGTACCAATAAAAATGAAAAAGACAAAAAAGAAAAAAAAAATCCTGTCTCCACATTTTTAAAAAAATTGTATTTTTTACTTTAAAAATGTTTTTTGCACATGCCTGTAATTGAAGCACTCGGGAGGCTGAGGCAGGAGGATTACTGTAAGTTAGAGAGACCAGCCTTGGTTACAAAGCGAACTCAAGACCAGCCTGAACTGCATAACAAGAACCTGTCTCAAAAAGACCAAAAAAAAAATTTTTTTAATTTTATTTAAAGAAGTGAAAAAGCACTGGAGATATAGTTCAGTGGGAGAGCACCTCTAGGTTCAATTCCTAGAACTGCAAAATAAACTAATAATGAACATAAGTTCTAAATCTTGCATTTATATCACAAAAGAATGGTGTAGAGTTCTTGCCTTTCCATTTTTGTTGATTGTTTTTGGTTTTTTGGTACTAGGAATCAAACTCAGGATTTACACTTGCCAGGCAGATGCTTATATTACTGAGCAACACCCTGGCCCCTCGCTTTCCTTTATTCAGTGGGTTTTTCTGAAAGCCGGCAAGGAAACGCACCTTGGACCAGGGAGTTCATGAAAATAACTCTTGAGACTCTTCCTTTAGAAGCAAGTGACAGGAAGTGGGGTTGAAATTAGAAGAAAGTGTCACCTGGTCTCTCTAAAAGCCACTATAGAGGTTGGGGATTTAGCTTAGCAGTATAAGCACCTGCCTGGCAAATGCAAGGTGGTGAGTTTGATCCCCTTACCCCCCATCCCCCCTCCATACAAAAGAAAAAAAAAGACCCCGCCTCTAAAAGCCAGGACATCCTCTCACTCCTCTCTTTCTTCTAGACTAGGACTCTGTTATTTACCCTAAGATTCTTCTTTATTGGTTAATTGCTTCTCCTCCTTTCAAGCCCATTTCTGGCTTTATACCTCCGGAGAAGCTAACCTGCTAGCCCAGTGTCCCCTCAGAGCAGAGTGAGGTCCCATCCAGTGTGCTCCCCTAGGACACTGCCCCTACCTCCTTGTTTGGGGAGGGGGGTACCAGGGATCGAACTCACACTTGCCAGGCAGGTACTTACAACACTGAGCTAAATCCCCAGCCCCTCCTCCTTTTTGAGACTGGGTCCTGCTAAAATAAATTGCCCAAGCTCAGCTTGAACTTGTGATTTTCTTGCCTCAGTCTCCCAGAGTGTTAGGATTACAGAGTTATGACACGATCCCTGTTCTCTTTGTCTGTCTCTGTCTCTCTCTCTCATTGTTGTGGTATAAGGGATTGAATCCAGAGCTCCTGCATGTTGGTGAGCCCTCTACAACTGAGCTATGCTTCCAACCCAAAGGATAAGTTTACAGTCCACCTCAGCCTAAGAACCTTGGACAGGAAGCCCAGTCTCTTCAGCCAAAAGCTTCTTCTTCTTCTTCTTCTTCTTTTTTTTTTTTTTTTTTTTGTACTGGGGATCAAACTCATGACTTCACGCTTACAAGGCAGGTGTCTATGCCACTGAGCCAAATCGCCAGCCCCCAGCCAAAAGCTTCTTGTCAGTTGTCTCATTATGTTCTGTCATAGCTCATTCCTCTTTACATGCTGCTCTGCAGGATGTTGACCAGAGCATGGTTTACAGGACAGATGGGCAAGATTGAGCCACAACACCTACCCAGGAGAGGGTATGAGGTCTGCCCTCCCCCAACAGGAGACTGAGGGGCCTCTTGGCCCAAAAGGAAAGGCACTAAATCCCCAATTGATTTATTTACAAGAATGTAGAGAGTCCACATTTCCTGAGAAATCACAGGCACAGGCCCAGGGATTTAGTTCAGTGGCTCAAGTGCTTGCCTGGTAAGTGCAAGGTTGTGAGTTTGATCCCCGGTTCCCCTCCCTGCTGCAAAAAAAAAGACAAAAAGAAACTACAGGCAGGTTTACAGCATCAGCCAAGTAAATATCCTAATAGGGCCTGCACTTACAGAAGAGAGCCCCCACACTGAAACCTAAGAAGTGGTGGGAGGATGGAGTTTACACAGCAGCTGGCAGGCTTGCTCCATGAGGGTCAGGCTGAAAGCGTGCTGTGCATGCTGGGCATGAAAATGAGGACCCTAGGTCCCTCCTTTCCTGCTCTTAAGTCACTCAGGTACCTTCTCCTTTCTTCCTCAAAAGGACAACAATCCCCTTTGAAGCAGGAGGTGTGGAGGGGAGAATGACAGTGGTAGCCAGGGAGGACATTGCTAGAGAGTCAGGAAGTAAATTGTCCTGGCCCATTGGCGTGCAAGGAACAAAGGGAAATTGGGGGGCACTGATGGCCAAGCCACACCCCCAGAGGTGGTTGGAGGAGGGATGAGAGAGTAAGATGCTCAAAGTCATCCTGGGCCACAGAGAGACCCTGTCTCAAGCAAAACAAACAAAATAAAACAAAACAGCACATGACCACATAGCCCGGGGCAGGCCTCCTTGGACCACGCACATCCACACTGGCTCAGGGCTCCACTCTGGGACACAGACCTCAGCCTGCCCTGGGCTTCTTTGCTGCCCCCAGCTGTGTCTCAGTGCACTGGTGGTGGTGGTGGGAACCATGGCAACCAGCTGTGAAGGGAGACTCATCGAAAAGACTAGAAGGGACCAGGAGGAGGCCTCTGGCCAGCAACTTATTCAATTTATTTAGCTGACATTCATCCAGCCTTACCTAGTGCCCCAGGCACCAGCCAGACACTGGAGCCACAGAAAAGAAAAGGAAAAAAATTAGTCTCACATCATGGGTGCCCACAGGCTTCTGGAGGAGGCCACTGAGCCAACCCCAGATGGCAGAGCGGGGCTGGGATGCTGGAATGAAGGGAAGACAGGACTCCTCGGGAGCCAAAGCAGGAACAAAACCCCCAGGAGGCTCCTAGAACCTGCAGGGTCATGACCTCTGACCTCAGGCCAGAGAAGGCAGAGGTAGCCAAGCCCAGACCAGGAGGCAGGCAGGTGTGACGGAGACAGGAGGAGGAGTGTTCGAAGAACCTTGAGTACTGTAGTGTGTTTTTTTGTCCCCCAAAACATGGTTGCTACATGGCCCAGCCTGGCTTCATACTTACACTCCTCCCACCTTAGCTTCTTAAGGGATTACAGGGCTGTGTGCTGTCTGGTTCAGCTGCCTCCTCAAGACAAATTAGTAGTTCAGCTGTGGAGCATTTGCCTAGCACAAGCAAGGCCTTGGGGGTTCAATCCCCAGAGCTGCCAAAAAAAGATTCAAAAATTTGGAAATAAGGAAAAAAAAACCCATGTATCAAGAACCAGCCAAGAGTCCTGATTGTCAATATCAGGAATGTGGCAAGAAAAATAAAAAACAGAGATAAGTATTATATTCCAACAGTGGCTGCGAAGTTAGTGTCTCTGAATCCAATGACCTCCTCCACCCAAAGCAGCCTCTATTTTCCATGTATCCAATGATAAGCGGGACTCCAAAAGGATTATAATTCATTCAAGACTCCCAATCCAGCAGGTGTAGATAATCTTACACTTAGAAGTATCTTGATCCAGAATATAATCCTAAAATGATTTAAGTAGGATGATCTTATGCTTGGAAGAGTCAATGGGAAACCCCACATGGGTGTTAACAATCCCAATCCTTCTTTTCATCCCACAGGGAAATATGCAAAACCAGTCACTGTGAATTTGTGGTCCCCAACACTCATGACTGCATAATCTCAAATCATCTTAGAGCATTAACAAACTAATAGTTGGGTGTGGTGATGCACCCCTGTTATCCCAGCACTCAGGAGGCTGAGGTAGAAAGATCACTGCAAGTTTGAGGTCAGTCTGGGCTACATAGCAAGACACTGCTTTTAAAAAATACTTTTATAACTTTTAAGTCTTTTTGAGAGAATCTCACTATGCAGTTCAGGCTGGACTTGAGCTCACATTTTAGCCCAGGCTACAACTCATAAGGATCCTCTTGCCTCAGTCTCCAAGTGCTGGGATTATAAGCATGAACCACTATGCTCAATTTAAAACATATTTTACATATATATATAATTTGAGAGACTACCCTAAAAAGTATGGCAAGATTGAAACCCTAGAAATTACAGCAGACAGACAAGTAGAGTAGAAAAAAGAAAGGACTGCTTTTATAACTTAATGATCACAGTATGATTGATAAAATTGTCATTCAGAAATATCACTAGTTAGGGCTGAGGATTTAACTCAGCAGTGTAAGCACCTGCCTAGCAAGTGCAAGGTCAAGAATTCAATCCGAAGCCCCCCCCCAAAAGTAGCCGGGTGTGGTGGCTCACACCCTTAATCCCAGCACTTTCCAGGCTGAGCAGGAGGATCACTGCAAGTTTGAGACCAGCCTAGCTACAAAGTGAGCTCAAGGCCAGTCTGAACTGCATAGAGACCATGTCTCAAAAAGACAAAAAAAAAAAAGACTATCGCTAGTTTGTAATGGACATAATTTTAAAGTGTTATTTTATTTTATTTTTTTGGTCCTTTGAGACAGGGTCTCACTATACAGTTCAGATTGGCCTTGAGCTCACTTTGTAGTCCAGGCTGGTTGAAAATTTGCCATAATCCTCTTGCCTCAGCCTTCTAAGCTCTGGGATTAGAGGCGTTGGCCACCACACCCAGCCACACCCAACTGTCGGTTTCTGAACAAAAAATGCAGTCTACTTATCATAAAGATATTGTAAAGGTGGAGGTGGCAACTTCATGGGTTATGGAGGAAACTTTGAAGGTGGTGGAGGTCATTTGTACCCCAAATGCTACTCCCCCTTTACACCTGTCCATCTCCTACCCTGGGCTTGGCTACTCTGTCCTCCTCATCTGTGTGGCGGGAACTTTGGTGGAAGAGGAGGCTCTAGTGGTGGAGGAGGTAACGGTGGATACCGTGGATCTGGAGGGGAGGGTGGCAACTATGGTGGTGGTTACCGTGAAGGAGGAACTTTCAGTGGTGGAACTATGGTGGTGGGAACTATAATGATTTTGGAAATTACAGAGAACAACAGCAGTCAATTTATAGACCCATGTAGGGGAGCAGTTTTGGTGGACGGAGCTCTGGCAGTCCCTAGGGTAGCAAGGAGCAGTTATGCAGCCGGTGATGGAAGTGGTGGATATGGTAGCAGAAGGGGTTTTCTTGTTTTTGGTTTTCGGTACTGGGAATTGAACCCAGGACCTGTGCTTGCCCGGCAGGCACTGTGCTTCTGAGCTATATCCCCAGCCCCTGCTTTTGTTTTGAGACCAGGTTTTACCGTGTAGTTTGGGCTGGCCTAGAACTCATGATGTAGCCCAGGTTGACCTTGAATTCATAGTGATCTTGCCTCAGCCTCCTCAGTGCTAGGATTATAAGTATGTGCTACCAGCCTGGCAGAGAAGATTTTAAAAGCAGAAAAGGACTACAGTGTT